GGCTTGAACTCTGGGCCTGGGCGCTGTCCCTCAGCTCTTCAGCTCAAGGCGAGCGCTCTACCACTTGAGCTACAGCGCCATTTCCGGTTTTCCGGTGGTTTATTGGAGATAGGAGTCTCACGGTCTTCCTGCCCAGGCTGGCTTTGAACCGCGATCCTCAGATCTCAGCCTCCTGAGTAGCTAGGATGACAGGCGTAAGCCACCAGTGCCCGGCTCAGACTCGTATTTCTTAGCTATCTTTGTCTTCCTCGTGACTGCCACCTCTGGGTGAATTCTGACCAGTCTTTTGACAGCATGCTTTGCTCCCAATAAAACGAGTGCTAGAAAAGCATCATCCATAATGTCCGATGGTTGAATTGGACCAAGTCTTCCTGAAACACGTGTAATCTTAAAAAAGATAAACAATTGTCTTTTTCTTTCCTTCATGGATCAGCCGTGCTCCGTCCTGGAAACAAAATCAGTCAGGTCTGAATCCACATGCTCATATGTTCTCTTCGTCCAACATTTTGTTGATGCCGTCGCAGAGTTTCTGTAGGTGAGGTTTAAACTTCCCGAAGGGGTTATACAAGGCAGCCAGGAAGTCGCAATCTGAGAAATGGTCGAAGACGTTGTTCACCCGTCCGTGGGACTTGGTGGTGAGGTGGCGCTGGATGATCTGGTGCAGCAGCTCTCGGCACTCGTTCAGCAGCCGGGACAGCACGTGGCGGTCGAAGGTGTAATCTACCTGGTGGAAGCTCACCACGGTCATCGCCAGCTGATGGACCTTCTTCTTGAATTTCTCCATCAGCGCCAGCTCGTCTTGATTGAACTGGTTGTTCCTGTACAGGATGGCCAGCTTGATGACCGTCTTGATGAGGTTCTTGATGACCCTCTCCGCCTCCTTCTTGTTCTGGGTGTACTCCTTGGTCACCCTGTAGAGCTCATCCAGCACCTCACTGCTGGTGTCATCGATCAGGGTGGTCGCGATCGATTTGGATACCATTTTACCCAGGATCTTCTTCTGAGCCTGCACGGCCAGGTTTTTGGAATTAAAGACATCTGTGGCCACTAAAGATAATAAAAAAAAAAGTAGGAAGAGAAGCAATAAGTGATGAGTAAATATTACCAAGAGAATCACATTTTTTTTAAAAAGCCAAACATGAGGAGTAGTTTTCGCTCACTTTCCCGTTATTTGTAGTGTGTCTTTCATCCTGCGATATAAATCTCTATTCAGGAAAAAAAAAAATCCAAAGCTGGGTGCCAGTGGCTCACGCCTGTAATCCTAGCTACTCAGGAGGCTGAGATCTGAGGATCGCGGTTCAAAGCCAGCCTGGGCAGGAAGACCGTGAGACTCCTATCTCCAATAAACCACCGGAAAACCAGAAGTGGTGCTGTAGCTCAAGTGGTAGAGCGCTAGCCTTGAGCTGAAGAGCTGAGGGACAGCGCCCAAGCCCAGAGTTCAAGCCCCACAACCGACCAAAGAAAAAAAAATCCAATTTTTTTCCCTCCATTACCAGACATTAGGTTCTCACTTGTAGAATTAACAGGTTGACGTATAACTCCAATATTGTATCTACTGTTCTATATGGTCAATAATGCCTTTAGAAGTTAACGCTGATACTGTTACCCTTCTTCTCCCTTAGAGAATTGCCGTTCCTAGAGCGTCCACCCAAACACTAGGCTGAGAAGCTGCTCTTCTCTCTGTGCATGCCAGAAAACTTCTTAGTGTAGGCCGGGTGTGGAAAGGAATCATCTGGTAATGAAGATACAAACATGAAAGACACAGACACTAGATGACCTAGAGGCACTTCTAGTTTGGACAGGTCAGCGGCATACAGGGCAAAGGACGTATGAGAACAGGGGCTTCCTCAAGGGGCCGCTTGATAGGGACTGGAGCAAAGAGAAGCCGCCGCTGCTCTGAAATCTGGACTCACAGTGCTTACCCAGCGGCTCGGTCACTCATTCCTCGGTTTGCGATGTCAGACAGCCATGAAAAGCGTGTCTCAACAGAACTGGGAATGGTGCCCTGAAAATGTTCATGTTTAAACTTCCGAAACGTGAACTGAAACTGCCAAAGAAGAACTGAAATGTATTTTGGAGAAAGAAAAGCGAAAGAGCGTGAGAGATGGCCAGCTCTGTGCAGGCCTCCGGGCTTCTGGGCGTGGTGCGAGTGACGCGGGCGTTCGTGCCTGCTCCTGTTTTCCACAGTGATCTGGAAGAAGCGTTCGTTCACGCACACCAACGCCTCTCACAGCGGTGTGCTCACTGTATCAGACCCAGAAACGCCTTTCACCTTAGCACTCACGACCCCGACTGCCACAAACAAATCTGACTGACACAAGGCACTTCCACAGCACAGCAGTTCAGCAGTCTGTCTTACGGAGCGTTGGGAAGTCCTTGTTCCTGGGCTTTCGGAACCTGGCAGAACTACAAACTCCCAGGTGGGACTTTGCACTGTCTCCTGGATGGACATCGTTATGTGGCGGCCAGCTCCCGCGCCCTGGTCACCAGGCCTGAGGAGGACAGGCCAGGCAGAGGCCCCACCGCCCGGGGGCTCCAAATCCCCCGAGTCTACACCTCGCTTCCTGGCCCCTGGGGTAGAGGTGGTTAAGTGCTCTCTTCTTTGGGAGTGAGCTTTCTGCCCTTCCCTCCACCGGGAAGGCGTGCGTTCAGTAGATTTCTTTTCCGGCATTAGAAAATGCATTTTCTGGGCCAAGCAGGGGTTGTGGCTGAGAGCTGCTGGCCAGACATGTGTGGTTTGTGATCATAAAGCAGGGCTCTCTCTCTCCCTCTCTTCCCCTCATGAATGGGCCGCTGGGGCTGCTCCTCGGGCTCGCTGGTCAGCTGGGTCGGCTCTTCCAGGTCCCCACCAGGCCCGGCAGGTCTCAGACCTGGTCACGCCGCTCTCTGGGGCCCACGCTTGTGATCTTACCCGCCCAGGCTCTCAGACAGCACCCGCGTGCCACTGACTGACTCCCACAGCCGGAGCCCAGCCCCGGCCACTGACTCCCACAGCCGGAGCCCAGCCCGGGCCACTGACTCCCACAGCCGGAGCCCAGCCTGGGCCACTGACTGACTCCCACAGCCGGAGCCCAGCCCCGGCCCCTGACTGACTCCCACAGCCGGAGCCCAGCCCCGGCCACTGACTCCCACAGCCGGAGCCCAGCCCGGGCCACTGACTGACTCCCACAGCCGGAGCCCAGCCCCGGCCACTGACTGACTCCCACAGCCGGAGCCCAGCCCAGGCCACTGACTCCCACAGCCGGAGCCCAGCCCCGGCCACTGACTGACTCCCACAGCCAGAGCCCAGCCTGGACCCCTTCCCAGGCTCGTTTTGCAGAAGCTTCCGGGACTTCTCTCTTCTTTCAAGACTCTGCAGCCATCAGCGCGCAGGCCTCTCCCTGGCCCCACAAGGCTCTGCCTCCGTTCTTCACGCCCTCAGCCATCCCTCCCAGCCTCTGCTGGAGACAGAGGCCTGGGAATCACCCGCCCTGTCCCCTCCTCCCACTCCGCCTCCCGCGGTTCCACTTCTACGGGCTGCCTGCCATAGACACATCTAGTCCAAGCCCCTGCCGGTCTCTTTCCCACAGCGGCCGGCCCACGGACATTAGAAAATGATGCTACGTCGGGTTCTTTGGTAACCACACAGCGCCCAGCTCCCGGACCCTCCCACGATGTGGTTTTCTTCCCCACAGACACATTTTAGAGCATGGCTTCACCCACCGCCATCATCATCACTTCTGAAAGGGTTTGTTGCAGACCAGGGACAACAATGCAAAGACTGAGTAGAAGCAAGGCGGGACGCTTCTGACGTGCAGTACAGCCTCTGAGCGGGAGAGAGCACCGGGGACCGAGCCTGCCGGGGGCAGCCACAACCAGGAAAAGGTGCGGAAAGCTCCCGTCCAGCCTGCTACCAGCCAAGAGAAACTCATTCGCCTGAGGAAGTAAGTAATGGGGAAAAAACAACACCAGAGGCCAACAAAAGTTTACCACCGTACTAAAACTACTTGAAATAGTTCGAGTAAACGATGTCTTCTACCTTCGGACGTTCCCTCCCCACTGAAGTCCATTTCAACAACATTTGTTGTAAAGCAAACTCATGTTTAGAAAACCCTGGGTTTGGCACCAACACTTATAAAGTTGGAGATAAATACTGACGGAAAAAACATTGATCCATGCACACAGGGGGAAAAAATCTGCTTAGCAGGAAACGAGGGGAAAGCCTCTTTATAATATCAACCAATGGGGCTGGGAAGGTGGCTCAGTGGTAGAGCGCTTGCCTTGCATGCTCGAGGCCCTGGGTTCGATTCCTCAGCACCACATAAGCAAAAAGAAAAAAGC